GCACCATCTCTCCTAGAACCATGGGATCTTTCGCTAATAATATACCCCCTAACTCCTCTTCCTCCGCCTCAGGCTTATGCTTCTTGGCCATTGTTCCTGGTGAATCACTCAAGATCAAAACCTCCTTCGTACTGATGCTCTCTTCCTCATCTTCATCTGTCAGATCATCTCCACTATCAATGTTTCCCACTCTCTCTTCTTCCACAGCCTGCAAAACACACCACCACGTCTATCAATTGAAACGCAACTCATGGTGTACATTATATAATTAACTTGTACATTACTTCCATGTACACTCCCACAAGAGCGTACACGTATAACTGTCACCCCAAAACCTCCTTGTGTACACGGCCAGGCATAATTTCCCTCTTTCTCAGTTTCAGTTTCTTTTCTCAGCAACCCATCTGTTACAGCCATTCCCTACGCCAAAAAATTGTCTCAGTTGTTACTTCCATATACATTGCAACAAGACTTAAATCATGTACACGGTTAACTAAAATTTACCTTAATCTCTTTCTCAGAATCAATTTCCGTTCTGAGCATCCCATCTTCAACAGCCATTTCCTACACCAAAATTTTATATCAATTCATATACACAAATGCACACGTGTACATTCGTCGTAATGTACATCAACAACGTTTGTTTACCTCCCTATCCTCTTCGGTTTCCATTTCCTTACTCTCAATCACTTCATCAACTTTTGCTTCTTCAGCCACCCCACCACCCTCCTCTTCTCCAGAATCGCCCCCCTATGATGTATATATACATAAAAATCCAAATCACTACCTTTCAACAACCACATTTTATGTACCCAAAAAAAAGGTCAGCAAACATACCTGTACATCTACTCCAGCATACTCTGCCCCATCAATCCCCCCGCTTCCCAAATTTTCGCCTATTTGGGATGCAGCCCCAACTAATACATTCAACCTTTCCATTTCCTGCAGGACCGAGAACAAGGTCAACCACATGTCTAAATCTCATTTATTTTGTCTAAACCTTTTATGTACCTCATCACTGATTCCCTCTTCGAATTTCTTTTTTTCAGGGACGTCTTCATCCAAGCTACTACCCTGAGTCAAACAGCACAATGGTTCTCAGAAAAAAACCCACCAAAAATGTAAAATAGCACAATGGTACCTCATGAACCACACTTTTTGCCACGTAAGGTGTTATTGGCTCATTTATCTCCATCTCATGTACATCATCCTCCGCACTGATATCAGTGTCCATCTCTTCATTTCTTTTCTTCTCCTCCCTCTTCCTCATCTCTCTTCTTTTTGAACTCATTCGAAGTTGTTTCCCCTTCCTTATTTTTCTCCACCTCTCTAATGTACGAGCCTGCTTTCCACACACATTTGTCAGCCTAATCATTTCTGCTTCTAGGACCCCCACGCGCAACTCTAATGCAGCATGTTGCTCTGCATCCACAAAATTCCCCTTTTTCACAAACCCACTAATCCGCCTCTGCTTCAGCATCGGTTCTTCTTTTTTTATCACAAACGACCTTCCCTGGTCGTTTCTTTCTCTTCTCAGCCGCTGAATGATCGTACAGTGGGTCATTTGCATCCCCACCAACCCAGTCAGCCTTTGTGAATATATACCCATCCTTCGCAAGCTTCAGCATTGTTTCAACCTTCTTATCAAACTTTTCTTCATCCACTATCCCCCACCTATCCTCGTGCGTCNTTAGCATTTACTAATACTACTTTCAACATGCCCAAAAAATGTACACTATTGTCACTACACCCACACTTAAACGTACACCACATACTCTGTACACTCTATACACACCTAAATTTCAAATATTGTACACGACTGCCAATTCAGCTAAACATCTCGAACACCATATATTTGTGTACACACCTATTAGTCACCCATCTAAGCACCGAAATGTACACAACTTTTAATTTGCCCCATAACCTTTAAATGTACACTGACATAACTCTTTAGTTTACTGAAGACAACAATGTTAAGCTAAATCTAGCAAACTATTAAACGTACACAAAAAAAAAAATGTCCACAACACCTAATCTGTACACAACTCACAAATTCAGAAACATGAATTCAGATACTCTGTTATACTTACCCCAGGATCGTGCTCTGCCCTTCTTAAATCGATGACAGTCAACCCCGCATGTTGTGGCAACACATCTCCACCAAAGTTCATCAAAGTCACACTATCATCCCCTCCAGCACGATTCAGCAACTGTGGAATTGCTTCAAATGCAACCAACTGCAGCGCAACAGGGAACCCCACCATTCTCACTGTCTGCTGCCTTAGCTTCTTACAAAAATCTCCCAACGGATTCTCACACTTCCCAAACTCTTTTGGTGCTGGCTTCATTGTGCTAATAGTACACAAAAAAGCTTCCCTGCCCCATTGGAAAGCAAAAAACTTATCCAGATCTTCAAGAAGTTTCACATATTTGGGTGTTGGCCTTGGGTTTTGAGATTTTGCCATCAAAACCCCATCAACTATAAGTATAAGACACAACCGCAGTCTCCTCCAACCAGGCATGACCCTATCCACTGTCACCATTGCAGCAATCTCCTTGAGAGTAATATCCTTTGTTGTTCCTAACAGTTTCTCCCAATACACAAACTTTTCTTCTTTCACTGGAAGCTGGTAATCATAACTGTACCCTTCTTCAAACTCACCACAAGGCAGCCCAGTTACTTCTCCAAACTCCAACAGAGAAAAACGAAGTGGTTTACCACCGAAAACAGGCCATATCTCAAACTTTTTCTTCGTGACAACCTGTCTAGTCAACATTCCATGAACCACTTTCCCGGCCAACAGCCTACGCACCGGTATCTTAAAGAGACTCCCAAAACATGAACCCATCAAAACATTCATCTCGGGTGAACCATCTAATGCATCTCTTACCGTCAATAAGAAATCAATTGTGGAGTACGTGTTCACCCTCTCGCAAGGGAACCGATCCGTCGCGAAAAGCCTTTCCGGTAAATCACCAACCGGGTTCTCTTTCTCAGCCATCTCAACCGGGTTCTCTTTCTCAGCCATCTCAACACCTACAGATTTGCAAAAAAACAAATATTAGAAAGCCCCAAAAAAAAAAAAAGAATTACGCCAACGAGATGGAAATTCCGGGTACATTACCGTCGACGTTTCCGGCGAGCCGCAAGCTTCGTCGCCGTGACATCGTTCCAACTCGAGTTATCTTCTTTTGCTGTCGATATTCCCTTTCTCACTATCCCAAACTCACAATCGAACCCTAGCAATCGCCTCCTTCTTCAAAGATTTCTCTGGGGAAAGTGAAAGGTTACACGCTTTCAAAAGGAGAGAGAAGAGAAGAAAAAGAAACAAAAGAAAAAATTCAAAAATCAACACAAACCTAACTAAATAAAATACCGACAAAACACCCTTGGTTACACCTTTTTAAGGGTAACTTAAGTCTTTTCACACCAACAACTGCTCTAAGAGCGGGAAGTGTCTTTTGTTGACATAAAAAAGATGAATCTGCCTTACAATGAAAAATACTCTTGATTATATTCAATGTAGAATAAACTAACAATTATCGAGATGTTCACACTTCTTCTATTTAAATAATCTATTATTTTAATAATGTGTTTGCTTTAACCAACTAATTTTAATATGAATTCATAACCCATCACCATTTGCAGCAATAACTAATATTTGGCCATCCACTACGGACGTCATAAACTATAATTACTTGCTGAATTAATCAACAGAAACATACTTATAGGATAGTAGTATTTGTTTTCCTAGCTTAATGAAATATTTAAATCTGACCATAGAGTACAATGTGAAATGTTTTTTTCTGTTATAACATCTGCTACCAGGATAGTTTGAATTTATATTTTTACGTGTCAAAATAGAATATAAGTATCTATTTTCCAAACTTAAATGAAAAATTGAAAACTGATCATACAAATGACCTTTTACTCATATTTTGCAGTATGGTTTTTCATCAAATCTTATTCAACTTCCACGTATTATTACAAGCAATCACTTTCATACCAATAAATAAATAGTAAAAATGATATCCTGGTACATGATTCTAAAAGTTGTGCGGTATACGTCAGGAAAATGAATGCAAAGACGGTGGAAAATAAACGGGACAAACATATCTAAATATTTAATTATATATGATTGCTTAAGCAATAAGAATTAAATGCTCCAGTATCCTTGTCTAAAAAAATTTGTTCCCAAATATTTGTACCCAAAATTTACCCCCAAATAAATTTGAACAATTTTTTTAAAATATGAAAATTTAGTAAAAAATCAGAACACCGAAAGAAACTCAAATAACTACAAAACAACTAGAGGTATTTTGTGGATAATCCAGATCCTAATCATTAAATTCAGATCTCTAGTGTCCATAACTTCAAAACATTACTGAAATTTTGTGTAATTATATAACTTAGTGTAAGTGTAACTATAATTTAAACTAATTCACATTTGTAGTAACTATACAATTTAGTAAACGTTCAACTAATTTTGATTGTATCATATACATTTGCAATATATTATTGATATATTTAGTGATAACATATCAATTCAATTCAAATGAATGAAAATAATTATTCATTTGCATTATTTTACTGATATATTTAGTGGAATTAAAATAAATAAAAATTATAGATATTACATTGAGGGAAATGTATTTTACATAAAGTTTAGAAAAGTACGTAATGGTGCATGTCATAACTTATAAACAACTTATAAACACACGAAAATACTTCATCCGTAATCTTCAATTGGCCACTAAGTAGCGGTCAAATAAATATCATTGCAGAAATCCCAAACTGCACATTGCGAGAAAAAACGATTGCATTTTCACCGTGTTCTTGATCCATCTAAGGAGACAACAAACACCGGTTGTATCATTGCAGAGCACCAGCAATTATAATTGATGTTGAGATCTATCTTTTCCAATAGAGACATAAAGATCTGTGGTTTTTCGTAACCAGAATGACCTGAGGATACCTCAGTAGCGAGCATGTGATTCATCTAATCAGCAAACTCACGTATAAAATTACGAAAGTTGTGAACCAGTTCTCTATCATCAACACTAAATGCTAAGTTGAGCATATCATCAACGTACTTGGCCAACAAAAATCTCCTCTCACCAGCAAGACGATTTTTTCCCTTCCTTAACCAAGTAAATGGAGGACGAAGAACTCATACATACCTCGCATGTAGATGGCATGTGGATTACCGACTTGGTATCATTTAAGCATGTATGTTCTGACAGCACTAACCTTCTCAATCCAGTCATTGAAGAGAATAAGATCTGTAGATATGTAAAAGTATTCTTCTCTGCCAATTTGATTGAAGGCGTGTAATGCAACTCTTGCACTATTGAAGTCCCGGAGATGATTTGTTGCTACCTTAGAGAGAATCTTGTGAAGCATGGAAGGAGGGAGAGAAACCAAGTTAGAGTTCAACATGGTGAGATATTTGTTTTATCACGTAAATGGAAAGATTAATGTTTTATTTATTTGGAAAAATGATAAACCCTTTTATAATAGCAATGATCCTCAACAGTGGAGAAAAGATAAGATTGTATTTATCACGGCAGTTAAGGGTGATTTGGTGGACGTCTCGAGAAGGCACGACTTCTGGCTGCAACAGTCGCATGTGTTTGATTTAAAAATTTGTAAAACTTTAAATGATAAGAATAAATAATTTTTAAAACTAAGTGAAACAGTTGAGTTAGATTGTCTAAATATATGAAACTAAGAAAACGGTTAACAATTTAGATAGTGTAACAATTTTGATAGTCTAACAATTTTGATAGTCTAAATATATAGAAGAAATAAAAAATATTATTCAGTAAGAAATAATAAATGAATAGTAATTTAATATGTGTAATAGTTACTTATCATCCCAACTACAAGTTGTAACTCTTCCATTTAAGAGTGATTTGATAGACGGTGCGGTGGCTTCCCCTCCATAATTTTCAAATTTATTACTCCAACACTACAAGTTGAGTTCAGTAAGAAAGACACGACCTTTCACACTAACAGTCGCCTATGTTCATCATTACACTACATTTAAATCCCACAACACCAAAACAGATCATCATTACATTTGTATTCAATTTAAGAAACCCTCAATTTAATCTCCACTCTACCGCAGTAAGTTAAGCTAAATCATCTCCTTTATATCTAAAAATATTTCACCGCAAATAAATAATTCATCATCTTTCAAATGGAACACTATAATACTCTTGGTGAAGTTGTCTATAACGAGAAGGTCAAGCATTGCCATTTCATAGTGAAAATCATAAGAATCTATACTTTCTATTCCAATGTTACCGGCATAGGACCACTCCATGTTTATGTCCTAGCAGATGAACATGTAAGTACAAAATCATCATCTCTGAAGTTTCTAATAACAACAATGGAAAATATAAACTCGCTCGTTGAACTTAATTTATGCAGGGAAAGTGATGACCATCTATGATATATATAGAGATAGGTTTAGAGGCCTAGAGAAGCAAGAGGGAAAATAGGTGGAAATCTTTATTGTAGAAGTTGGCCGTGCCCATTCAGGTTTCAAGGCAGCAAAATCCAAATTCACACTAACTGCTACTAGCGAAACTCAAATCCACATCATCGATCCTCTGGACGATCAGCTTTACTTTGAGTTCAAAGGCATTCATGAAATCTCTTACATGAGCTACAAGGAGAAATTTTTTCTCATATGTATGAATTCTAACTAATAAATATATTTCACATGTAAGTAACAGAATGGAATAAACTTATCTGGTAGATACAGTGGAAGTGGTCTTTAAGACGGAAGCCCATTTCGAAGATCCTGAAGGACCAAAGATTGTGTTTTACATAGGGGACAACATGTAAGTATTAAGTAACATATGATCAAAGCAAAATGTTTGCATTAGTGTAATTGACGTGTAATTGACTCACCTTGTTTTATTCATCATAGTGAGAGTCAGATAAAATGTGTGGCAACTGGGAAACATGCTTATGGCTTCCGGGAAGGGTTTGAAAACATGGGAGGTCATCGACAAGTGATTGTGGTCCTTAAGATATGGAGGGTCTGCGACTATTTCTGTAAGTGAAGTTTATGCTTATTTGACTTCAGGTTTAAATGTGTTAGTTGACTAAAACCTTCTCTAAACTCATTTAAACAGCTTATTCTGGTCCTATAGAAGAATAGCTTCAGACCGAGGGGGACTTATCTGACTTCAGGTTCAATCCGCGCTTGCCGGAGGTAGAGGGGTTCAGAAAATCGGCTAATAACAGTGACGCTTATGTTCATAAGTACGGAGCTATAGGGCCTTTGTAAGGTTTTATCTAATGTATTAGTGTTTCTGAAATTTGGTTTGTCATGTTGAATTGCGTTAATATGTATTAAAAATGGTTTTCTTAATTTGTAATTGTCCAAGTGCGTGAACCTAAGAATAAGTTGAAGTTAACATGAAGTCCGTGTTCGTATAACCATGTCAAATTTTTGTTAGGTTCTATTTCTCAATTGTCCAACATCGTAAACATATGAGAAACTTTTCAGTTTACCAAACTTCTTAGTAGTTCAACTTAACTTGAAAGTTGGTGTTCCTATAACCAGGTCAAATTTTGTGTTAGGTTCAATTTCTCAAGGGAAGACGACCTATTTCCCCACAGGAACTATGGCATAGTAATAAATGTACACAAATTTTCGACCTCGACGTAATTGCACACCACATAAGTATAACAACGCTTTTCCACATATGATGAAAGTTCGAAACCCGTTTCCCCCCATACCAAGATTTGGCTTGGTTTTAATGGTTTATTACATAAACCGACGATAGTATACCAGTTAGTATCGATACAACTCGACCCAGATAAAGATCCGACTATGGATCGATTTAAATCCAACCCGAATTTATTTTAAAACACCCAAAATTGAGTTCATGACTTTAGAACCCCAAAATCAAAAAAATCAGAGAGAGATTTCGTAGCAATATCAGGAGAATCAGGTGTCCCCGGATCGAAATCAAGTACATCACTCCACTCTACATTCACATTAGTCCATGATTCCATTGTTGATTCCTTGAAAACAGAGAGACACAGAGTCAAAACAGAGAGACACTGAGAGACAAAGAGACAGTCCAATAACGAGAGAGATGGAGACAGAGAGAGAGAGATGTCAAAATTACCTTCAATTCTAGAAACAATCAGAGAGAATCGGAGACAATTGGAGGAGCAACGATGTAGAGGAGCAACAACGTTCTTTTCAAGCGTAAGAGATTGATGTTTTAGTGTTTCTTTTTAATTTGGTTAAGGTTGATTTCATCGGGTTTTTAATCTGTAAACGGGTCATAATCGGGTATTTTTGGTTTAGGTGAGTTAGTTATTTTGGTTAAGTTTAGGTTTAGGGAACACTAACCAATTTTAAACCGTAATTTATTGATATTAGTTCGATTTTCAAAGTTTAGGGGGAAACGGGTTTCGAACTTTCATCGTATGTGGAAGAGCGTTGTTATACTTTTGTGGTGTGCAATTACGTTGAGGTCGAAACTTTGTGTACATTTATTACTATGCCATAGTTCCTGTTGGGAAATAGGTCGTCTTCCCATTTCTCAATTAACCAACATCGTAAACATTTGAGAAACTTTTACAATTTACCAAACTTCATAGTAGTTTAAGTTTGCATAACTTAGGAGAAACTTCAGAAAACTTAGACAAACATAATGTTTAACTTCACATAAATTACAAAAAAACTTAGACAAAACATAATGTTTGACAAAGTAACTAGCTTTAGGAATCACTTGTACATCATAATTCGACCGAGAACTACAACGAGAATGATGATACTAACAATACAACATCCTGATATCATTATCTTAGGAATTATTTTGGGACTTTCACTGCCTATTGTTGTCGTTGTTTTAAGCAATTGAACTTCTTCTTCTAGCATTCAAACTTGGTACTCCAACTGTTCAATCTCATCGGTTTCGTCGACCCATTTGAAGACGTGATCGTTGTTCTCGAGCTACAACATTCCAACATTTTGTTCAAAATATTTAAGAGAACAACCCTTCGATAACTAAAGCTAAACGGACGTTACCCTCTTTTTTGCCGCATTGAGACACCGATAATACCGGCGATATGGATATGGACCAGATTTGAGGATGAGCTCGGAGATGCTCTTCCCGCACCAACACCTCTTAGGTATCCCCGGAGTTTTTACTCGTCGACTCCGACTACCGGACGTGAAATATGAAGCGAATGTAATTGGGTTCAACATTGGGGATTTCAGTTGAGAGAGAGAGAGAAAAAAGAGAGATAAAGGGAAGAGAGAGAAAGTGAAATCTAGAGAATGTGGGAAAACGCAAAAGTACGAGTTTTAGTACTAATTGGAATAAAAGAGAGGAAGAGTGAGATTAGAAATTCGAAAAGCTGGTGGGCGGAAAATTTTTAGCCTAGTATTTTCGTGATTGAAGTTTCACCGAATTTGCAGTTTTACAGAAAACATCAAACTTGTACTTTATATTTTTTTTCCATTTATCTTGGTTTTACTCAATTACAATGACTGAATTTATGGTTATACCAGTTATGTTATGTATACTAGATTCATTTCTCATTTTCCATGTATACATAAACTCGATTTCTTTACTTAGTAGGATTTTAAATGAGAGAAGGTGAATACTAATGAAAAAAATATAAGAAAACAGTGTAATGACATCGTGATTACTAATAGCCAACGAGATTTTTTTTTGTTCTGATAAAATCAACACAACCCAAAATAACTCATAAGATACCATCTTAGTACTTTCGTAACAAGTTTAAAATTTACAATCCTATTACTCAGTTTACCTATCATAGTTATACCAGTAAAGCATAAATTTTCACTTAGTTGCACAACACAAAATACAAATCTCACATTTCAACGCGTCCTCTTGTGTTTCTTGTGGGGATGTTCATTGTGTTCCTTATGTTCCAAACCAGTATCCACATTATCTTCTTCTCCATATCTACTCTCACGCTCACCATAGTTCCTACTACATGAGCTTTCATTCTCAACTCTCGATAGTTGCTCGATTATTTGAGCTATTTTCAATTCTTGGTGTCTTCTACATGCAAAATACTCCTTCTTTGTTCTTTATCCACTGATGTTGGATAAACAAACACATCTTCATCATCCAAAATATATGATTATCTCTTAGGTTCCACTACCAGTGGAATGTAACCAAATTTCAGACTCTTCGTAAACGGATCTATTCCCATCTTCCTTCATATTCTCTCCTTCAACAACAAATAAGTGATCTCCTCCAATGATGATGTTCTAAAGGATATACCATAAAAACGACCATCGGTTAGAATCAATTCATAATTATCTCCAGACTTAGAATAATTTCCATCATAATCAAAGTGTATGTTTGTAGAAGAAAGACTCATCTGCAGTTAAAAAAAATTTAATCACTAAGTTATACCTGATTTATTCCTGGTTATATAGTTATAGCATGTTAGTTATAAGAAGTTATACCTTGTTACACAGTTTTGTCAGTTTCCAACTTTTTCCAACTTTACCAAATTTTCCCAAGTTTTCTCAACTTTTCTAGTTCTAGCTATTCGTTTTCTCCCTCTTCAATTCGTTTCAATAGTTCCCAAGTTCCCGACGTTCTATCTTTTCTTTTTTTTCTTATGATTACAGTTGTTAACTATCCAATTCCATAATAGACAGACCATTCACACATTCTGATCCTCAATTACTCTAGTCTAGTTAGAATTGTAATTTGGAATCTCTATAAATCGGTCGTGTATGGTGGATTCTAAACATTGGGTTACGACGAGTTAAAAATGATTTAAGATACATACCCTGTCAACGGAATCAATAGCTCAATGATTCAGCATCCAAGTGGACGAATTCTACCGACCTAAGCGATGATAACGACGAAGAAGAAGAAAGAAACGAATCCCGCAGATGAGAGAGAAAAAACAGATCACTCCCGATTTGGAAATAAAAATAATTCAGAGTATTCTCGATTTTGTTTGCTCATTAATTAGGTCAGGTAGGAATGGGCATTTTCGACATTAACCAGACATATGGAGAGCATCAAAATAGAAATGAGTATGTGAGAATGAGTAAGAGTATGGTAGAATAAATTTTGCTTCACTAAAAGTATTCCAGCATTTCATCCAAGCAAAAACATGAGAAAGTAGTTTCCTTCTATATTTTCTTCCTCGTTTGTTTTTATGCAAAGTTGGATATGTCATACGTCCCAGTTTCAAGTTTGTTTTTATGAAAAGTTGGATAAGTCATACGTCCCAATCTGAAACTGAAGTATATATCTCAACAATCGAAAAAAGAAAAAAAATATATACCAAAACAAAGACAGAAAGAAAGATAGTTACACTGGGTTTTTGTGCCACTCTTCGTCAATCTTGTAAGGCCATATTTATTAGCGTAATATAAGAACCATCTCTTAATTTTTAAATAAGAAAACTAAGAATCGACTTGTAAATAAAATTTTAAAAGACGATTCTTAATTTTTCTTAGTTAAAGTTAAGAGACGGTTCCTATATTACGCTAAGAACTCTACCCTAAGAACCCTTCAATAAACATGCCGCATCGCATGACCTAAGTCTATTAGCGTCGCATAACCTAAGAAAATGTTTAATAGAAAAAACCATATTTAGATTCTTAATGAATATTTAATTAATAAATTTAAGTTAAACTTTTTTGTTAAGAAACAATATTTTTGAGTGTTTCAGTGGTTAAATCCAATTAAGAGTTCTTAGAAGAAAAATTGTAAAACATTTATTGATAATGCCACCAACTCTTCAACTCTATACTGACTTTTATAATGCCACCAAAACATATGTGCTTCTATTTTCGACTTTGATTATATGGAAAAAGAGTAAAAAAAAAAAATAAACCATTTAGCTACACCTACTCAACAACACATACTGCTTGAAACTAGAGGATGAACGTGTACGCATAGGTTAGCTGGTCAGTTTCACATGGAACATACTTCTTGATCAGGTGGTTTAAGGATAGCATGCACTTTCTTCGTGCTGCAGTAGCCACAGATATCGTGACCAAACATGAAGCTGTGTGTAAAAACACATGTGTTTTAGTTTTCAAATATAGTTGTTTGTTGATGATAATGTTGAGATGATTATGGTAGAGAACGAGATGAGATAGGAAATCCACATGTATGGGGTGTCTCCACCAAACTTCTTCTTGTCAACATGACCAATGAGCAGTTGTATCCACTACTACAGTCAAGTTTTTGCTCGTCCTTGACTGAGAATTGGAAGACTAGAGTTTTTATTGGGATATATTGGTTATGTTATATTTCCTATATCGATATATACGGTTTTGTATATTTACCTTATTTCCTAGGTCTTAGGATCTGGTTCCATGTATAAATGCACGACCTTATAGTCTATGAATAAACTTAAGACATTCAGATTCATAACTTTTCATGGTATGAGAGCAAGTGATCTGAAAACCTAATTTTTCTTAAGCCCCTCAGCTAATTTTTTTGGTTTCATTCATATCTGTCCTCTATTTTTTTCATGCCGAAAATAGAGCTTCTCTTTACCAAACTAAGAAAGCCTCTCGGCCTCTCCTTATTCAAATCAAGTATTTCTCTAACGACAGGTTCCAATGAACCTAAAGGAAGACAATCTCTCCATATTACTTCACCTCCAGCGATAATCCTGGAGCTGTAATCTCACATCCGCTGCTGAATGGATATAATTATGAGAAGTGGGCAATCAACCTACGAATGGCGATCAGTTCACGTAAAAAAGTTGGTTTCTTGGATGAGGGTATACCGAGGCCAGCTACAGATTCAACTTATCTTGAAGATTGGATTAATAACCACCTTCTCGTAGGGTGGATCAAACAGACAATTGAGCCGAAATTTTGATCAACAATTTCGACTCGAGAAGTCGCAAAAGATTTATGGGATATCATCAAGAAACGTTTCTCTATTAAAAGCAGTCCTCGTCTCCAGAAACTTCGTAATTTACACGCGCCTTGCAAACATAATGGATTTACTGTTGATGAGTACTTCAGGAGATTGACAAAATTATGGGATGGTATTGTAGAATGCTTAAACACCAGGGGGTGTGAATGTGGAAACTGTACATGTGACCTTAATACGGCACATGAGAAGGAGGCTGGGACACTTCGGGCTCATGACTTTCTGGCAGGACTAGATGATGCGGTTCATGGTGTTGTTCGCTCACAACTATGCGCGATTACACCTCTTCCTGATCTTGATAGTATCTATCAAACAGCCTTACAGAATGAAACTATCAGATCATCTGCGAATCAGGAAGCTTTTGTCATGAGTTTCGCAGCTCAAACATCAACATCATCACAATATCCTCCAAACACGGCCACTGTCTCCACTCGTGATGTCTCTCGTCAAAGTGGAATTGAGGGTTTTCAACCACGTTTTGGACCAGGAAATCGTGATCTCTCACGCCAATGCACTATTTGTGGACGTAAGGGACATGAGGCTTCATTGTTTTTTCAAGTGGTTGGGCATCCAGACTGGTATGGTGATAGAAATCAAGCCAAGAGCAACCCTCCAAAGAGAAGGCGTGGAGGAGGACCACTTCATGCAAATTCTACTCAGATTGTCACTGAAAATTCCGCTGCAGTTGGTTCGAATGGAGGCCTTACAGATTATGATTGTATGGGTTTGACTGGAATCATTGATGATCAATGGCAACAAATTTAACGGGTGTTAAACAACAACAAACCTCCATAGTGTCTAAGTGGTAATATATCCTGGATTTTGGATTCTGGTGCTACACACCACATGACAGGAAGGATTGATTTACTTGAAAATATTAAGGATATTGATCCAATTTCCGTCTTACTTGAAAATATCAAGGATGTCCACAAAACATGGCACAGCTAGACTCACGGCTCAGTTATCTCTTGAGAATGTTTATTTTGTTCCTGGATTCCATATGAAACTTATTTCTTTTGGACACTTGGTTACTGATAGCTTACTGGTTGGACAAGTAACAGACAAGATTTTACTTTTGCAGAACTGCACTACGAGGATGCTGACTGGATTGGGTGTGAGAGAGAGAGAGAGAGAGAGAGAGAGAGAGAGAGAGAGAGAGAGGGAGTTTACTGGTTTCGGGGAATTGATACACCGACGGCTTTGCATGCTAGTGTCTGAGATGATCTTATCTTGTGGCATAGTTGCTTAGGCCATCCATCTCCGCGAGTTACCAGTTTAGTTTCTGGATTACATAGCTAACCTACTGATAGTGATGTTTTATTTCATAATTTTGATGTTTGTTTACGAGCTAAACAAACTCGACAGTGTTTTCCATAAAATTCAAATAATGCTAATGCAACTTTTGATTTAATTCATTGCGACTTATGGGGTCTGTATCGTACTACAACTTTATGCATATCACATTATTTTTAACTATAGTTGATGATTATTCACGTGCTGTCTGGTTGTATCTTCTTCCAGATAAGACCAAAGTATCTAAACATCTTTGAGACTTCATGGCAATGTATCGAGCCATTTATCTACCAAAGTAAAAAGGATTCGTAGTGACAATGGCAGTGAATTCTTATGTCTTACAAAATATTTTCAGAAGTAGGGAATTGTTCATGAAACGTCATGTGTCCATACACCTCAACAAAATGGTCGTTCTGAACGTACGCATCGCCACATTCTTAACATTGCTCAAACACTCCAGTCTCAAGCAAACTTACCTATAGAGTACTGGGACGAATGTATACTCACTGCGGGTCTTACAAACATTGCTCAAAGACTCCAGCTCTTCTAGGTGATAAAACTTCATTCCAAAAGTTGTATGGTTATGCGCCGTCTTACAAACACTTTCGGGTCTTTGGGTCTCTGGCCTTTGCACATAATCTCGATCATAAAGGGAGATAAATTTACTTCTTCTAGTCGAAGATGTGTGTTCTTAGGATATCCATACAGCAAGAAGAGTTAGAAATTACATGATTTTGAACGGAAGATTGTCTTCTCCTCAAGAGACGTTGTGTTTCGTGAAAAGATATTTCCCTTTAGCACACATCATGTGAGGCCACCTCTGGAACAAAATTTAGGTTCATCTCCGGTTGTTGATATGGAAGATGATGATGATTTAGAAACTGAGAATCAAGTTCTACTGCCAGAACCTGCACCTATTGTTCCGTCTACTCAATCTACGCCACCTGTATGTGAGCCTCCGGTTAACATAACCAATATATCCCAATAGTTTTATCCTTGTTACTGAATTCAAGGAACTCAGCTGAAATGGCATAAAAATCTGATACCTGCAAGGCAATAACCAAAGCATTAACACAAACTAAGAATTCGTAGAGGAATTTATAAATATCATGTATCCATGGATAACTAGCTCCAAAGACTGAATCATACCTTTATTATTAGCGTCACCAGTCACAATTTCGTGACATGTGATTCCACTCTCCAGTAGAGTTCTCATCTTTCTTCTACTCAGAATTAACCCATCTCTTCTCTCATCCATCATTAGGAATGAAGACAACAAAGGCATCAAATCAAGACATAAAATCCGACAAAAAAAACCGCAAGATTATTATCAAGTTCAACACAATACAACATCCAATATAAGAGTCATCCAATACAACATCCAACATCCAAATCAACACAATAGAACCGCAAGATTATTTATCAAATTTTAAATGAAGGATTAGAAAGAACCCAACACAACAAACAAACAAATTAAAATTACAAGAGACAGAATCACTAGACAAAAATCAACACATCAAAACAAAACAAATCAAAATCAAAATCACAAGAGCAAAAAAACACCAGACAAAAACCAACATACGGCATCCATTCATCCATGAATTGAAGGATTCAAAATCATAAGGACATAATTTACCTTTCGATTGGACTAACCAACAACAGTCACCGTTTTCCACCGAGAAAGGGGTGGAGTCATTCTTGGTCAATGAGAGTCACACAGAGACAAGCGGAGTGATTCATCATCGTTGAAAGTAACAAAGAGAGCCGGAGTGTTGAATCGTGGAGAAGATTTAATCGAGAGAGAGAGGTTTCATGCATTCAACAGTCTCGAGAGAGAAATGAAGTTAAAGGCAAAACACTCTAAATGTAACATGTGTCTCCTTAAAAGCGTCTTTTTAATCCTTAATTAGGACGTTTCTTAAGTTAATTGTCATTTTTCCTTTTTTAATTACTAAATACCCTAAAAACCTATTTAAGAACTTCCGTTAATCATGGTCTAAGTCTTGTCTTGTCATTCAACTTTTGTATGCATCTCTCGTCTTCGTTTTTTCATTTTCTGTTGTTAAAATCTAAAACAAATTAAATAACGAAAATTAATTAAAATATCTTTTTTTCAGACCGACTCTTTGCGTAATCTTAAACATAAAAAATTAGTAAAACCATTTTTCGGAGAGAGAATGTGAAAATTCCGGTGACCACGTGCATAAAAATTTGGTGTGGTGCGGATTCGAACTCAGGTCCTTTGAGATCCACAGAACGCTTTGACCACCCAACCACAGACGCATGGTTAAAAGTTATAAAGTGTTAAAAATGTTTGAGTCGAACCTGAGACAAAGAGCTTTAATTAACTTGTCTCACTTGATCATTTATGTTGCATATAACTTTTTGTAATCTTAAACATAGCTCTTAAAGATTCTTTTTCTTACAAAAAAAAAATTCCTTTTGTCTTTTTTTTTTCTTTCTGATTTTGGTTAGCTGATTCTGATTTTATTTTCTTTCAATTATTATGATAAGAGGAGGGTCCCTTCACAAATATGAGGCTCTTTTGGTGTAGCCTTTATCCAAAGAACCAAAGTTGATAAGACATCACTTATTACTCTGTAATAACATCACTTATTTCTGATAAGACATCAAACCGCTTCTCCTTACTCGGAAAAGGCACAAAAAGGTTTCAAGTTTGGTCTCATCTCAGGCCAAAACAGCTCCAAATGGTTATCGATTTCTAGGTGCAGGAATTAATCTTAGGGGCAGGAAAACTCAAGCTCTGTTGTTACAAAAAAAAAGATGGCAGAAAGGGTAGAAGGATCTGTAACAGAAGGAGAGAACACGATAGAAGAAAGACACGTAGGAGCTATGTGGGAGCTAGAGCAGAAACTTGATCAACCCATGGATGAAGAAGCTAATAAGCTCAAGAACATGTACAGAGAAAAGGTACTCACTTTCTCTATACAAGACTATGATTCTAATGGTTACTCTGTTTATGTGGTTACTCTGTTTCAGTGGTAACTCTGTTTCAGTGGTTACTCTGTTTCAATGGCTACTCTGTTTTGGTTTCGTATATAGAATTTGAGAAAGTGACAAAGTTTTAATTTTTTTGTTCAGGGCCTATCCATGTTGATGCTACTAAGACTATCATTCCAAAGCTTAGGGATAGTTTATGGAGATTTAGGGACTTCTCCACTGTATGTGTTCTACAATACATTCCCTGAGGGGATCAGTGATAGTGAAGATGTACTCGGAGCTCTTTCTTTGATTATTTACTCTCTTCTCCTCATACCTCTCATCAAGTATGTCATCATTGTCTGCAAAGCTAATGACAATGGTCAAGGTAAAGCTAAGCTTTAATCAAATGTTGTTTTTGACTAAACCGGACCGGTTTAGTTTATATCTCAAATGTTTGTATGTAGGTGGGACTTTAGCTATATACTCGTTACTTTGTAGACATGCTAAAGTGAAACTAATCCCGAATCAGCGACGTAGCGATGAGGAACTCACTACTTATAGTCGAACGTTGCTCCCTGAAGGGTCTTTTGCTGCTAAGACAAAGAAGTGGTTAGAGAGTAAAGAATCGAGAAAGAAAGCTCTTCTGTTCATTGTTCTTCTTGGAACTTGTATGATGATTGGTGATGGTATCTTAACACCAGCTATCTCAGGTAACTAGCTTTTTCTTCCCTTTCTTCTCTAAGTTCACTCAAAACTCTTTTAACTTACAGAACCTTCTTTAAACAGTTCTTTCAGCTACTGGTGGGATCAAAGTTATCAGTCCAAAGATGAGCGGCGGTAACATTTCACTGCACCTTATGTCAGTTCAAGTTTCCGACCGATTTAATTTTGCTCACTTTGCTATGTTCCTTTTGTTTTATTGCAGATGTTGTTGTGCTTGTGTCTATCATCATCTTAATAGGACTGTTCAGTATGCAACACTATGGTACAGACAAAGTAGGATGGCTCTTTGCACCTATAGTCTTTATATGGTTCCTCTTCATTGGAGCCACTGGAATTTACAACATCTGCAAACACGACACAAGCGTTTTGAAAGCGTTTTCGCCGACATATATCTACTTATACTTCAAAAGACGAGGACTAGATGGTTGGATATCACTAGGTGGCATTCTTCTCAGCATAACAGGCACAGAGGCACTATACGCAGACATTGCTTACTTCCCGTTACTAGCCATACAGCTCGCTTTCACGCTCTTGGTGCTCCCTTGTCTTCTTCTTGCGTACTGTGGACAAGCTGCTTATCTTGTGAACAACAAAGATCATTACAAAGACGCGTTCTATGCATCTATGCCTGGTTTGTCCCCTCTATACATATATAATGCTCTTTACCAAAAATGACTCATTGCTCTCTTTTGCTTTGAAAATTCTACAGATAGTGTGTACTGGCCTATGTTTGTAGTAGCCACAGGAGCTGCTATCGTTGGGAGCCAAGCTACAATCTCAGGGACTTATTCTATAATCAAGCAAGCAGCGTCTCATGGATGTTTTCCACGTGTTAAGATTGTACATACTTCCAAGAAGTTCCTTGGTCAGATCTATTGTCCTGATATTAACTGGATAATTATGGTCGGCTGCATTGCTGTCACTGCTAGTTTCAAGAACCAGAGCCAAATAGGAAATGCATATGGTAAGATGTATAGGTCTCAGATAATGTTATTTGGCTTTTGCATCTGAATTTTTTTTGGTATATATCTCAGGGACTGCTGTTGTGCTTGTGATGCTTGCGACAACATTATTAATGGTGCTGATCATGCTTCTAGTGTGGAGGTGCCACTGGATCCTTGTCCTATTATTCGCTGTCCTCTCACTAGTTGTGGAGTTGTCTTACTTCTCGGCCGTGATATGGAAGATAAATCAAGGAGGATGGGTTCCGCTCATCATAGCAGCCGTCTCTCTTCTTGTTATGTCGGTTTGGCATTACGCAACAGTCAAGAAGTACGAGTTTGAAGTGCATAGTAAAGTCTCCATGAGTTGGATACTTGGTCTTGGTCCTAGTCTTGGTCTTGTTCGTGTCCCAGGGATAGGGTTAGTCTACACGGAGTTAGCTAGTGGTGTACCACACATCTTCACTCATTTCATCACTAACTTGCCTGCGACACACTCAGTTGTTGTCTTTGTTTGCGTTAAGTACCTTCCGGTTTACACTGTTCCTGAAGAGGAGAGGTTTCTTGTCAAAAGAATTGGACCAAAGACATTTAGAATGTTCCGTTGCGTAGCCAGGTAATGCCCTGTCTTCTTCTCTATTCTTTTATAACATTCTTGGCAACTTGTAAGTGTGTCGAAAGAGTTTTAAAATCTCTCAAACAGGTACGGTTACAAAGATCTACATAGGAAAGATGATGATTTCGAAAACAAACTGTTGAACAACCTCTTTGCCTTTATCCGAATCGAAACTATGATGGAGCCAGGTTCAAACTCAAGCACATACAGCAGTGTCTATTCACTCAGCCATACACTAGAGTCTAGAGATAAATTGATCCATAACAACCACCACAGCAGCAACAACAACAACAACAACATTGATGAGTTCTCATCGATGGTGGACCTCACGGTATCGACATTAGACACGATAGTTCCTGCTGATAATAGGATGAGTTTCAGTCAGAACAACACGGTGGAGGAAGAGGAGGAGGATGAATTGCAGTTTCTAAAGACTTGTAAAGAGTCAGGGGTTGTTCATATCATGGGAAACACTGTGGTGAAAGCAAGAAATGGATCATGGCTTCCTAAAAAGATAGCGATCGATTATGTTTATGCGTTTCTTGCTAAGATTTGTAGGGAGAATAGTGTTATCTTGCATGTTCCTCATGAAACCCTTTTGAACGTTGGCCAAGTCTTTTATGTTTAGTTTTGTTTTTCTTTTTGTATGTAAAACACGTACAGATAAAAGGGGGAATAAAGAATAAAAGATATCAATGTTAGACGATACAAACTGGGATGGCCTTGGTGAGATATTCTGTTAAATTATTTAACTTAAACTAGATTTTGATTATTTTTCCAACAATTATTTTGGATTTTACTCATCAGAGACCCCAAGTAGCTTCAACAGCTTCTTGAGTATATTCACCGCCAACACTTTCGTAAAAACATCAGCAGGATTCACTTCAGTATGAACTTTAGAAACCTGAAACTCTCCTTCTTCAAATCTTTCTCTTAAGAAACTTAGTTTTCGAGCCATGTGCTTAGAACGCTCATGAGGCACATTGTTCTTGGCTAACGCTAACGCACTTTGAGAGCCACAAAACACTTTAATCTTCTCTTGTTCATACCCAAACTGTTTACTCAAACCCTTTAGCCACACGACTTATTTTGCTGCTTCAGTCATTGAGATATATTCAGACTCTGTTGTTGACAAAGTAACAACTCTCTACATACTTGATTTCCAGCTTATCAGACAATCACAGGGGCGGACGCAGTTAAGTGAAGGGTGTGGCATGGGCCCCACCCTAATTTTTTTTTTAAACTTTGATACAAAACTTGCTTAAATATCCTTAATTTAATTAGTTATTGCATTATGTGCCCCATGTTTTATATTTACATATCTTGATACTTACTAAGGGTCTGGTTCAAACATATCGGTTGTGGTTGAGGTTGCGAGAGTATGCGGATGTGGGTAATTGCGATTTTTTGTGGTTTTAAGAGATTTGTACGATTGGTACTGCGATTACAAATTGGTACGTTTATGGGATATTTATAACTGATTAACTACTAAATGCAGTAGCGGTTAAAATATAAATTAACAATATTTACATTTTCTATAATTATAAGAAAATACCAAAAATCATAATATTATAATAAAATGTAAAATTATACTTATAAAGATATAGTTTTAAATTTTTAAAATTATTGAATTTTTTTAATAATACTAATTAAAATATAATAGATATATTTTAGTATTTTATAATTCTAATTTAAAAAAATATTGAATATTTTATATTTATATTGTTTTTTTTTTATAAAAAATTACCTTCCCGTAACCGGTTGCAATAGCAAACGCTAGTTGGAACCAATTTTTGAATTTAAGAGGTGTAGAGCAGTTTGAAACGGGTTAAAACGGTTTGAGTTATTGTTGTAAAATGCCAATAACCAATACCAACCGCAAAAGCTAATAATCGGAAAACCAGCCATGCCCTAAATGTTTATTATATTTTGTGCCCCATGTTTTCTAGACTTCTGGATCCGCCCCTGGACAATCACCAGCCAGAAACGAGAGTAGCCAGTAATAGATCTTCTTAGTTAAGGTTATACATTCTGATAGTGCACATGGGTTAGCAATTTACTGATCTTATCAAAGAACTTGGTATGTTTCACTATCTTTCTTGTGCATATACACTTCAAGAGAACGCAGTTTTTGAAAGAAAGCATCAACATTTACTAAATTTATTCATTATTCTTTCAATCAAATGTTCTCCTTCAATATTGGAGTGATTGTATCAAGACTGCAGTGTTTTAATTAATAGAATGCCATCTACTTTACTTGATAACAAATCCCCTTTTGAAAAATTACTTAACAAAGTTCCGGATTACACACTTTTGAAAAGTTTTGGGTGTACGTGTTTTTTTTAACACAAGGGTGTGTGTTTTGTTTCTACAAATATCAAAGATTGAAAAAATAATTTCTCTTTGTGCTAAACATTGTGTGTTTCTTGGTTATCCATCAGGTTATAAAGAATATAAAGTTTTAGATTTAGAGTCTCATTCTGTTACAGTCTCTCGCAGTGTGATCTTTCATGAGAAATAATTTCCTTTTAAAACGTCTCAGATGTTATCTAAATCTGTTCATATGTTTCCCAATATGATATTGCTTTATCTGTTCCTCTTCACTTTGTTGAATCTATGCCTATTATGCTTAATGGTGAGTGTTCTAGTTCTATACACACACTGATAGGGATAATACAGCGGATACTCATATTGTATAAGTTAATGCACCTAGGACAAAGAGAACTACTAAAGCTCCTACTTACTTATTTCAGTATCATTGTGCTTTTGTTTCATCCCCTTCAGCTAGATCTACTCGTTTACCAAGAACAACACATCCTCTTACTCTAACACTTTTGTCTCAGCATCATTGCTTATTGGTTCTTTTTACTTCACTCCCACCTCCCTCATTTTCTTCTCTTACAAAACACCTTATCCTGTCTCTTCTGTCATTTCTTATGATCGGTTTAATCCAATTTTTTAGTCTTCCGTACATTCATATTCCCTTGAGACAGAACCAAAAATCTTTCAACAAGCCATGAAATAAGATAAGTGGAAGAAGACAGTGAATGTGGAACTTGATTCTATGAAACAAAATAGAACATGGGATGTTGTTTCTTTACCAGAGGGGAACAACGTCATCATTGGTTGTCGATGGATATTTACCATCAAACAATGCATATGGGGCTGTAGAACGTTATAAAAGTCGGCTCGTTGCACAGAGTTTTACTCAACAAGAGGGTATTGATTATATTGATACTTTGTGACATGTGGCAAGCTAACAAGTGTCAAGTTACTTCTTGGTTTAGCTGCGATTAAAGGATGGAGTTTAAACCAGATGGATGTATCCAATGCTTTCCTGCATGGAGACCTTGATGAAGATATATATGTATATATACTCCTCTTGATGGGGTTGTTTTGCCTTCTAATCCGGTTTTCCGTCTCATGAAGTCTCTATATGTCCTCAAACAAGCGTCTAGAAAATGATACAAACAGTTTTCTTCAGTTTTGTTGGATGGTAATTACATTCAATTTTCTGCAGACAACACGCTATTTGTGACGAAAACTGCGATTTTCTTTGTTGCGGTACTTGTCTACGTTGATTATATATTGATTGCTAGTGATGATTCTGATGTTGTTGCTTCACTACAATCTTTACTTCGCTCTGAATTCAAGATCAAAGACCTTGGCCAGGCTCATTTCTTTCTTGGTCTTGAGATAGTAAAGTCATCTGAGGGTATTTTTGTTTGTCAGAGAAAGCCCACATTAAATTTATTGGAAAATTCTGGTATTCTAAGATGCAAACCAATCTCTATACCAATGGACACATCTCTCCATCTAACCAAAGACTTGGGGTCTCCTTTGCCTAATCCAACGGTCTATAGAGAGCTCATTGGCAGACTCTTCTATCTTACAATAACAAGACCTGATATAACCTTTGCGGTTCATCAACTCAGTTAGTTCTTATCAGCTCCTACAGACATTCATCTTCAAGCTTCTCATAAAGTTTTGAGATATTTGAAGAATAATCCTGGTCAAGGACTGATGTATTCTGCTAATGCAGAGCTTTGCTGGAATGTGTTTGCTGATGCAGATTGGACAACCTGCAAGGAGACTAGACGATCTATCATTGGGTTCTGTGTGTATTTTGGTTCTTCCTTGATCTCTTGGAAGTCTAAGAAACAAGCAGTGGTCAGCCATAGCAGTACTGAAGCAGAGTATATGAGTCTTGCTTTGGCAACTTGTGAATTGATTTGGCTGCAGCAATCCTCCATGATCTTCATATCACAATAACTGGTCCTGCGAAGCTTTATTGTGACAACAACTCTGCTCTACAAATCACCATAAACCCTGTCTTTCATGAGCGCACCAAACATATAGAAATTGACTGTTATACAGTTCGTGATCAGCTCAAAGCAAGTCGTCTCAAGACGTTTAATGTCACCACCGGCAATCAACTTGCTGATATACTCACTAAACCTCTTCATCCTAGTCTATTTCATTCATTTCTTTCAAGATTGTTTTTGTCAAGTCTTTATCTTCCACATGCTCCAATGATAAAGACTTGAGGGAGATGTATTAGTGTATAATTTCGGTTTAGTATCCGGTTTGTATTGGTTAAATTTTTGTTTGCTTAACCATACATCTATTTATATTAAACCTTTGATGTAAATGTTAATTAAGAGGAATGACAAACTTTTCACCATTTTCATCATTTGAATCTGAAGTTAGTGAATACCATAAAGAGGGTCTCATGAATAAAATATTAACATATATATATATATATATATATATATATATATATATATATATATATATATATATAACAAGTGAACCAATTATGGAAGAGCTAAAGTTTTTTTTGTTTGTTTAAGAAATCATCTTCGTTTTCTCTTTTTTCTTATCTTTTGTTCTAATTGCTAGATATTCCTATAAATTTATGGAGATGTTCTAATAAAACTAAAACATAAGTATGTTTTTTCAATATGTAACGGAACTACTCTTTAATTAACAAAAATAAACTAAATTTTTGTAATGAAAAAAAAAGAAGATTACACGACTTCATGTAAAGAGGTGGAGAGGGTTTCACAAAGAAATGGTGGTCTATTCTTGATAGCAGTAGTAGTAAGGTATCTTGAAGAAAACGCATAGCACCGGAAATAATTATCCGCATCATCGGGAAGTGTACCACACGCACCACCATCAAAGTTGAGTGAATAGCTCATTGGATTGTACCGACATTGCAACGAGCTCTCCTGTCTTCGCGCCGCTGTTGCCGACAGAAGCAACCTCCCCTTTCTCTTAACTTCTCTGATGAGTCTTGTAAGATACGTGACGCAGCACTTTGGCGGCGGACTTGGGACGTCGAGCTTCTTAGTCTCGGTGGTTGAGATGACGATCTGGGCGTCGGGTATATGCCGGGAAAATGTCATTTATGTGACTTGTCGGAAATTGGAGAGAGAGATAGGAAGCGAGTGAGAGTGTTGTTGAGTGTTATGATGAAGAGAATCTAATTGATAATCTGACGAGCGTATGTATGTCATTCATATTTATAAGTGTACTACGTGTTTTGCCCGCACATGCGGGCTTAATTATTTTTAAGACAATTTAAAAAATCATCAAAATAAATGATTATTTTCATCCAAAAAATTCGACGTAAAACATTAAACGTTTTTACATGATAAAATTATTCACAAATTAAAAGAAAATCTATTTTTTCCTTTAAAACTTTGGAAAAAAATTTAAATTCTATTTCATTTCTTCTTAATTGATAAAAAAAATATAAAAACTTATCTTTCAATTTGATAAATTGAATCAACAAATATACATTTAAAAATTGATCTTACAAAAAGAATAATATTCGTTTGGATAATAATACAATATATTTGAATTTATTTTGTCAACAACATTATTTTTTTTTATTTTTGAATAATCTTTTATTTTATTATGATTAATTTATGTTTAATGTTATACTATATAAAATATAAAAATAAATTTGATTTAACGTGTGAGTTCAGAGGTGAAAAATTACTTCACAAATATATATCATTATATAATATTATTATATTCTTTTAATTTGAAAATAATTACGTATTATAAAATTTTCGATTTTCTCTTTTCAATTATATACAATTAAAAAGTTAATTTATGAATATTTATTTATATGTTTTCTGTTTTTGCTTTTTTATTAAAATATATTTTCCGGATAACAACACAATATATATAGGAATTATCTTTTTTTTTTAATATATATCTAGATTATGGATAATTCTTAGCATTATTATTAATTTAAATCATTTATCTAATCAAAAAATATAAATTCGTTTTTTATTTAGGACTGATTTATATATTTTATTCATTAAGGGTATAAACGATATTAACCACTCCAACTTTTAACGTGGGAGCTCTGTTGCGAAAAATCACTTCGCAAATGTGCAGGCATAATTATTTTTAAGACAATTTAAAAAATCATCAAATAAATGATTATTTTCATCCAAAAAATTCGACGTAAAACATTAAAAATTTTTACATGATAAAATTATTTACAAATTAAAAGAAAATATATTTTTTCCTTTAAAACTTTGGAAAAAAAATTAAAGTCTATTTCATTTCTTCTTAATTGATAAAAAAAATATAAAAACTTATCTTTCAATTTGATAAATTGAATCAATAAATATACATTTAAAAATTGATCTTACAGAAAGAATAATATTCATTTGGATAATAATACAATATATTTGAATTTATTTTGTCAACAACATTATCTTTTTTTTTATTTTTGAATAATCTTTTATTTTATTATGATTAATTTATGTTTAATGTTACACTATATAAAATATAAAAATAAATTTGATTTAACGTGTGAGTTCAGAGGTGAAAAATTACTTCACAAATATATATCATTATATTATATTATTATATTCTTTTAATTTGAAAATAATTACGTATTATAAAATTTTCGATTTTCTCTTTTCAATTATATACAATTAAAAAGTTAATTTATGAATATTTATTTATATGTTTTCTGTTTTTGATTTTTGATTTTTTATTAAAATATATTTTCCGGATAACAACACAATATATATAGGAATTATCTTTTTTTTTTTAAATATATATCTAGATTATGGATAATTCTTAGCATTATTATTAATTTAAATCATTTATCTAATCAAAAAATATAAATTCGTTTTTTATTTAGGACTGATTTATATATTTTATTCATTAAGGGTATAAACGATATTAACCACTCCAACTTTTAACGTGGGAGCTCTATTGCGAAAAATCACTTCGCAAATAATAGTATAGATGTATATAATAGTTTACTTGTTATGATAGAATTAAGATAAATACACTATACACTTTTAACGTGGGAGCTCTATTGCGAAAAATCACTTCGCAAATAATAGTATAGATGTATATAATAGTTTACTTGTTATGATAGAATTAAGATAAATACACTATACACTTCTTTTTAGTCAAACATAAGAAAATCTTAAAGCTTCTTCTCTTAGCAAATTTTTATATTAATAAGTGGGACAGGAAACCGAAAACATGTACATTTATTTTATACGGTTACTCTATAGTGTACTAGGGCCGGCCCGCCCTACAGGCGGGATGATAATTTAAAAATAATTTAAATAAATATTTTTTATTTTTGTTTAATACTTGTTTTTATTTAAAATCGTGTGTTCTATATTAGTAAGAATCATTATTGATTGTCATTCTTTATTCAGTTTTATTCTCATTAATATTAACTAAATTTTTCTTTACGATTAATAAGATTGTTTATTTGAAGTTTTATTCTATAATTATTTTAATGGTGTAAAACTATTGATTTATTTGTTTAATTTGAAGTTACCTAGTTTTATTCATTCTCTTACATTATTTTATATCGTGTTGTTACTCGTCTTTATAACTACAGAATTCTTGACATAAATATTTAAAATACATTCTAGATTTATTTGGTTAGAATAACTTAACATATCTATTTTATATTACAAAGTTATTCATTTTTTATATTTATTTTTATTTTATTCTATTCTTCCTAATAATTATTTTTTATTTTTGATTATTAATTAGTTTTTTTGCGGTCTTATTTTCATAAAAAAAATTAGTATAATTATTTAATTATTTTTTTTCTAATCATGAACTTCGTGTTAATTTTTGTTTTGTAACTTAGTTCGTGATAAAATGATGGAATCATTTCATAAGCTTTTCGTTTTTTATTTGCATTTGTTTTTTTTTTTGACATCTTCCAGGGTACGATTTTATTTGCATTTGATAAAACGTGTAAACACAATATCACTAAAAAAATCGTTTTTATTCTTTTTCTAAACTGTATGTATTTTAGATGATATTATAATTGTGTGCTAAAATAATTTTACATTGTTGGTTTTTTTTATTAGATTGTAATTAATCTATTGATTAAAGAAGTTTTGGGTTATTAAACATTTTATTAATAATTTTAGTTAATAGAATAAGACGATAAAGAATATAGTGTTTAACTATAAATTTTGATCATCTGGAACACTTAGGTTACTTCAATATAGTGAAGTTTAGAGCTTTTTAACACTAAAGAGATTATATGCAAATAAATATTTGGAAAGTATAACAATAATGTGTAGCATTTTAAAAAATAAAAAATAAAAATATGTAGCAACGAATATAAAAAAAGTCAAAATGGTCTCTCCTCCCTCTCGTGCAGACAACACCATAGTAATATAGATACTCCTTTTTTTTATCTTTTATTTGCTGGCCTCTCAAATCCTGTTTTGGACTAAAAACTCCTCTGTTACCTAACAGTACAACCTAATCTCTTCAAGCTTTACTTTCCCATCAAGAAAATTGTCACTGATCTCTTCCATCTTTGCTTTCTTCCCCAACTTTGTTGCACAAACAAAGAGAGTAAACAACAGATTTCTCAGTCAGTTGTTGTCTTGTCAAGTACTCTGGATCAAGATAACCAAAACTTCCTTTCACCGTTGTAGTCACATGTGTCTGGTCAAGATACGGACCAGTCTTTGAAAATCCAATTTCTGCAACTTCGGCCATGAAATTCTCATCCAAGAGAACGTTTGCAGACATCACATTGCAGCACGCTCTTGCAAAACCTGTATGGATAAAGTCCCTCTAGCTGCAACAACGCATATCTCCAGCTTGTGTCTGCAGCTCACCTTGGGTTATCCAAGTCATAAATATGGTTCTTAAGCGTTCCATTTTCCTTATTTTCGTACACCATGATCAACTTGATGTTCTCTTTGCAGTACCCAATTAAAGGAACCAGATGCATGTGTCTGAACTGAGACATTATATCGATCTCTGTCCTGAATATTATTGATGCCAAGCGAGTTAGTTTTCCCGTGTGTGGAAAAAGATACTTTATGTGTGTAAGATCACGATTCAAACAGATTGATTGATTCTGGAGATACCATATAATAAAAAGCCTTCTTTCCTTGTTTACCATTTAGCTCAGGGACCATGAACTCTAAACAACAGAGAATGATTCGATCCAATTAGTAATTTTTAATACAGTTCATTCTTTCGTCAATACAATAGCAGAGAAGTTGGTTCCAAACCTAGTATCTCTTGTTTACATTTGAGTCAGGAGTCATTTAATTCTAAGTTACTGACTTGTTCTAGCCATATGATCAATGTATACAAATGCAAGAGAAGGAAGGGGAACACAATTTTCTATAACACTTCTTAGCTATTCGTATCAGTTCACAGAAAAACTATATTGTCCAGTGTTCGCATGAGTAATATGTAGTCATCTCAAAATGTTTCAATGGATTTTCAAAAGCATTAACTTCCACAGTTCCGCTAAGTTGTATCATTACATTACTATGTTTTCACATTTCAAAGTATGCTACGGCACAGTATTTGGAATACTCTAAAAAAATATAAGTGTCAGTGCATCGACAGTGATTAAGAATTATTATCCTAAGCACTTTCTACAACTATAAAAGAACATTGTGCAGCTGCGAAGAATAAAAGAAGATCTACATATACTCACGGAATAAAGCTGTCCATGAGATATCCCGATAAAGCAGCAATCAACCTGCAGAAAAAAAGAGAGAAACAAATGTTCTTTATACATTCACACAGAAAAAGCTATGTTTTTTGTTCATCAGTATCTGTTTGCATGCACTTGATTAAGGATATGACTGTGGGAAGATAGAAAACTATTTAGATGAGTGAGAAATGAACTGGAATGATGATGAGAATGGGAAGGAAGCACCTCTATATATATACAGATCTCCACCGACTATGAACAGATAAGAGAGTATTGATTAGATATCGTGGGGGTGTGTTTAATTCTCGAAGCAATCAGAAACATATGAGAAGCGAAGAGATGAGCGGTGTGTCGTCTATGGCGGCGTAGAAGGGAAAGAACCCTAATTGGGAGAGAAGACGCAGACAACGCGGGCCGTGTTGTTTATTATGAAGCCCAACTAAAATTAAACACAAACCCAAGGCCCAGTTTACCCATAACACGTGTCTATTTGCTGTGGAGGTATTATCCTACGTGGCAGAGGCAGGAGGGAGCAAACATTTCTTTATAATAATAGATTTAGAATTCAAATAGTTTTTAAATATTATATAATTAACGGTAGGTCTTAGCCAATGCTCACATCTTTTCAAGTTTTGTTTGTTTTCATATTTTTTGCTTTTCCATATCAGTATTATTTTCATAATGTAAGAGTTGTATCTTCTTTAATCATCTATAATCACAACCATAACAAATAAGAGACGAAAAAACTACTATAAATAATTGATCATACACAATACTCAAATGTTTGGCTAAAAAGGAGTGTATATTGTAATCTAACAATAATTGATCAACCCCTTTTTGTTAATGAGATGCCAACTTTTCCATAGTTCATGTTTTTTTGTTGGTAACAATGTTAAAGATTTTTTTTTGGTCAAAAACAATGTTAAAGCTTTATTACCATTTTCAAGTTCATGTTCTTTATATAAATTATACGTTGACTTGCAGTTGCCGACGACAACTACATTATTTTAGCTTAATTAGTTTTAAACATTATCCATTAGGTGTTTTGCCCGCAATTGCGGGCATAATTCTCTTATGAATATTTATCAGTTGATGTTTTATTAATTTAAAGATGAGCATAGTAAGTTATTATTTCTGTTTTCAAAAATTAAAAATCAAACATCAAATAATTATCAATGACAAAACTCAAACATCAGAAATATTTAAAAGAATATATTTCTATAACTATTTTCCCGATTTATATTTAATTATAATATTTATATCTTAATTTTAAATTTTAGATTAGAAAAATATGTTTTCAAGATGACAATATAATGCATAAGTTATTTATCTTCTGAAAATATAATATGATAATTTTTTAACTATATAATAATTATATAAGATTATAGAAATTATGACATATAACTAAAATTACCTAAAATCATTGAGAACTTAATGAATTAGCATATTTACTTCTTAAATAATTTTTCTTGAGTGATGATTTATATTTAATTAATATTAGATAATTTTTCTATTTTACTTTCAAATTATATAATATAAAAATATATTTTCAGGATAACAACATAATACATAAGAATTACCATATTCTCTAAAAGTATAATATTATTAGTGTAAATTTATTTCAATTATAGAATAACTACAACTTTTTATATCTTAGTTTTAAATTTCTAATAGGAAAAATATATTTTCAAGAGATCAACTTAATACATAAGAAAGTATTTTATTTTCTAAGAATCTGATACTATTATATAAATTTGTTTAAATTTATAATAAATTATATATAAAATTATATAATTAATAAATTTTCTAAATTACCTAAAATCATGTAAAATATAACAAATCAGCAAACATCAAATTCACTTCTTAAATAATATTATAGATTTTTACATGTTAACTTTAAAATTTATAATAGAAAATTATTTTGTCAAGATAACATCATAATACATAAGAATTAACTTATTTTCTAAAATCTCATATTATTAATATAAATTCGTTTTAATTATATAATAATATATATATAAATATTAAAAATATAATAAATAAACAAAATTAGCTAAACTTAAGGAGAACATGACAACTAAGCAAACTTACTTCTTAAATAATAGTATAGATAAACCTATATTTCACAAATAAACCATACATGCTATCTGTTCAAAAAAGTTTGGAATGTGTCTATGTTGAATATTCAATAACTTATGGTAGGTAGTGCACATGGCTAAGAATCAAACACGTGAAGCTGAGTCAAGAGATCGTTTTCATCCCTTCCTCTCCTTATCTTCTTACTTCTATGTCTCCTTCCTTTCTTTCTTTCTTTTTTTATTTTTTATTTTTTGGACAACCATTCTATGTCGCCTTCCTTTATTTATCAATTGCATTGGCCCATTGTTTTTGATGGTTGGTTTGTTAATTAATTCATTGTAATCTCATTAAAGTGTTATGCACTGAAGCTCCGTTGGTCGACTGATTTGACCAAAAAATCATTAACAATTTTATACTATGAGATTTGAGTTTCAATTTTCAACAAAAACAAATTATAGTATAAAATTGGCGTAATAACTTACAACAGCTTTTAAGCATGACGCGTAAAAAATTCAAGGTGATACAGTCAAACGTGAATTTATATACATCAGGTAAAATTGTTATTCATAATATCGTTTATGTTCCGTGAGCCTAATTTATACTTTTCTAAATAAATAACGTTCCAAAGAGAACATAAATATTTACTATTTGGAACAATCTTTTTTTGTTAAGGTGAAACTCATACGTATGACAGCTGAAAATTTTGTTGCCAACAGAAAAAGAAAAACAGAGATCTCATACATGTAATAAAATACTCTCGGATGAATTTATTATCGAATCAAACAGACATTCCCATACCCCAGAACAACAGACATTCCCCATACCCCAAAACAACAGACATTCATACCAATTACCAACACATATTCACTTTCAAGACAATTTTTGTTGCCATTCAATAACTCACCACTTTCTTTATATTGTTTCTGCATATTCCCTCAGAAGGGAAAACGAGCGTAACAGGAAATAAACAGGAAATTAATAAAAGATGTTGCAAGTTGTAGGGGTGGATCCACGTACAAGAGATGTAGATTCTAAAATCCATACTAAATATTTTGTAGTGATCAAGAAATTAATCTGGGGAATACAATTGATGTGGACAACGATGCTCTTAAAACATAACGATACAATTGAAATTTGGTTAACAAAAATGGACTTTATTAAATATGAGATTTGGTAAAAAGTAATAAACAAGGTCGAGAACAACAAAGAAAGATTGAAGTTATAAGCGAACTAAATATTAAGGAGTAAGGTCGATGAGAGTAGTGATTTGCTCTATGGTTTTTCCATGTGTCCATGCTCTGCTCTAACTCCTCTTTTATAGTCTTCTTCTCTCCCTACTGTTTCTGCGATATGCGGGATATTACTTCGACTCGTCGTGCTTGATCGGTGTGGAGCAGATGATGATGATGCATGGGCCTGGGCCTACTTAATTAAGTACTGAAACTGGGTCCAACATTTGTCCCCCAATTTTTTTCCTTTATTGAAGGGTAAAGATGGCCCATTCGGTCTCAGTTGAAGAGAGACGGTTCGGTTTCTACAACGGAAGGGATCCAACACATGCCACCTCCCTATCTACAGACCGTTGGCTCTTGCGTCTTCCATTTCTAACGGCTACTCTCGCCGTGTTCGAGGCTAAACCTAATCATTTATTTCTTCTTGTTTTTAACGACAGAGCCATTTCTGGAGTCGGCGGATGTCTTTAAATACTCGAGGTTCTTCTTTTTCTCCTAAATCTTACTTTCTCTTCTCAATTCTTGCTTGTATGATTTTGATTTCTTCTCAAGCAAAGATGGCTACATTGTTTTCCTTTCCTCTTCCAACAACCACTGTCAATCATCTTGAGGATTTATATACGCCAGATGGCGTCGATCGAGACATCAAACTTGAGCTAGCCTCCCCGCTCAAGACCCCCGAGACAGTTCGCGACGGATTTTGCGGAGCGTATCTCTTGTTCTTTGAGTCTTGCGGTCTTTTCTATCCAATTCCGGAACTAATTATCGAAATCGTGGCCGAATTGGGCATATCTCTCACTCAGATGTGTCCAAAATTCTTAAGACATCTCTTGGCTCTCGTGGTTAGAGCTCGAGAAGAAGGTTTGCGAATCAGTTTAGAAGAGCTGCATCACTTGTGTTTGTTGAAAAGGAACAATCAAAGTCATGGGAATTTCCTCATGTCACCGCGTGTGGGATGTCATGTTATCCAAGGGATTTCATACCGCGATCAAGATCGGCAAGAAGGGTTATTTGTTTTCAAGATCGATCGCTCGTTGGTGGGCGACTTTGATTTCGCAAGAATTCCTTGTCTTCTGGTCTGACGATATAGGTTGGTTCTGAATCTTTTGCTATTTTCTTTTATTATATATAATATCACTTATTTATTTAATATCCGACCTCTAAAGTTGTCTTATGCGTCCTTAGTGCACTCCGGGATCTCTATGATGTCTAACGAGCTCTGAGGTCTGTTCAAGGTGTTACAACGAGGTCGTCTAGACTGGTCATCTTTTGATCGTGAACAAATCCGCGCCGCTTTCTTGCTACCGGACAAGCTGATCGAGCACCGGCTACTACGGATGGCTCGTTCAAGCTCAAGGATATTATGGGACCCTCTAGTGGTCCTCCTCCTTCAACCAGATCGGATAGACAGTTGGCTAGGAGGTCGTCGTTTAGGAACCGCAGATCTGTTATGGGGAGTAGAGATCTCGGGGAATCGTCTTTGATCCCGATCTTGGATGATGTCGAGGTAACTCCTGGAACATGGGGATCGCCCATCTCTCCGGGCCCCGGTTCGGAGGAGGATTCTGTTGCTACCGATTGCAAGTGGCGACGGTTATTTCGGATCATATCTCCAACATCACGAGGTATTTATTCGCTTCGAGATCGCGATACAGGGGCTCTGAGCCCGTCTATCTTTCATTCGGCTTCTCTCAGAGAGAGAGAGGTGTGTGCTAAGACTGCGGATGCCAATTCTAAGGTATATTATGTTCTTCTCTGTCATCTTTTAGTAAATAAATCTTGTTCCGATAACCTCAAAACTTTGCAGGTTATGGCCGCCATCGATGAGTTTACCGCGATGTTTGAGAGTCACGACGAGGGAGAGCTAGCGAGGTCACGATTTGAAGTAAAGAGTC